AGGATGTTTGAGAAGCCGCGCCTCGAGACATTCTCTCGTTTCTTGGCACCTTTGATTGACAATTCTCAGGCCTGCGTCTACCCACCAGGGTCCAACTATTTGTTCTTTCTTCCTCCGTTTCATCTTTAAAAATCCCTCTCTCTCTCGAGCTCTCTTTCCTCGAGTTCTCCTCTTTGCGCTTCATGAACTCTTCTCTCCTCTCCTCTCCTCTTTCCTGCTCACCCCTCGATTCTGTCTCTTTTTACGGCATATCGTCGTCGAGACACTGACACACGCACGCACGCACGCACATGCACACCAGCAAGGATGTACCGAGAACGTAAGTTAACTATTACGGAGCCTCCTCGCGCTTTTATAGCCCATCTGGGTGGCGTGCATACCACCGCCATCTTGTTAGCCACGATTAAATATTGATGCAAGAACGGATATCCAGGCTGGAAAGACATTTCGTTCGTAGAATCGGTCGACGGGGATCTGGGACGGTAATACTCGATCGGTAGCGAGAGCATTCGCCGTTTTTTCGTCCGTGATGAATCATTGGATCGAATGGCTGTCGAAAGTTTGGTAATGCGTATGGCCGGTCAGTTTTAAACGTCGACGCGTACATCCGACGTTTGCAGTTTTATACGACGTTCGAGAGATGCGGATTGGACCACGGAAGAAAAACGCTAAGAAAAAAGATCGCGAAACTGCGCGCAGAACGCAATCGATCTTGTTAGAATAATGCAAACGATCTGGTCTCTGTTATTACGTTTTGCGTCTGGCGATCGATCCCGTTTTCTTGGTTTCTTGGAACTCGGATCAATTCACCGCAGGTACAGTACCTTTTTCCTCCTTGTTCCCTCTTTCAGACGCCGAGAGACGATCGGATCGGAAGGGAAACGTCTTCGAGGAAAGAGTCGCATCCAGACTGCGAGATCGAAACGCTGCTGAGCCGACGAAATGCCATCGCAGACGCGCCAGACGCGAGAACGATTCAACGGATTCTCTCCGCTAATTTGCTGTTCGCCGGTGCGTGTCCATTATTGTGCAAATCGGCGAGCAGATTGCGGCAAAAGGTTGACAATAGGGGGATCGTCGCGTAAGCGTTCGTGCTCGCTACGGGGTGTTGAACCACCCCATCGTTAGCGTGCCGAATCAACCGGAAATTCCAGCTTTCGTCGCTTCCGTATTCAGCCGATGGCCAGGAGGAAAGACAAGACAAGACAAGACAAGACAAGACAAGACAAGACAAGACGCGGCACGTGCGAGAGTGAAACGAGGAGGCTCGTCGATGGATCGGCAGGCTGCGAGCGAGAGAAACCGTGCGTCGAAGGAATTAGCCAAAGGTGAGATAATGCCCGGTCCAACGTCTCTCTCGACTCTCTCGATTGTCATGAAAATATTCGTTTATTATTATTCGAGCAAAGAAGGGAGAGGAGCCACTCTCGGGCTCCCTGTTTCTAGATAATTAGAGATCGACGGTTTGTCGAACATTGACGGAAGACGCCACCTGGTCTCTCTTTCTCTATGCTAATTCCTTCGCGTTCCCCCAACACCTTCGTCGGTCGAGCTGCTAATCTCGGCACCAGATCTATCTCGAAGATGCGAAACTCGAACAATGCGGCCGCTGTGTGAAACGAATTTAAAAACACAGCGCGCCAACACTTTGTAAAGCGCTCCGTAATCCGTCCATTGAACGTGATAAGAAGTAGAGTTATTAATGAGACAAACGTTTCTCGCGTTTCCATCTGAATAGGTGCAAAAATGAAAAGGACGTTTGTGAATAGTGGAAGTATCCTCGCGATCGTTCGCGATTTTTAATGAACGCAACAACGCGTCTCTCGATACTTTTCGCTTCGCAGGAGATCGTTTCACGTAGCACGGAAACGATCGAAGATCGACTCGAGAGAGACAAATAACAATTTGACCAAGTTCCGGACGTGTGTAACAGAAGAGAGGTGGAGGAAGAAGAGGAGTGGAAGCGAAACGAGTGGCAGCAGAGGCGGTGGCTCGCAAGAAGACGGAGAAAGATTGCCCTAAAACGAGACAACCGTGAGTAGATCGCTTTTAGGATCATTAATTATCCTAGGAAGAGCGAGAACGAGCAGGATAGCGTGCGCCCGCGCCGCGCACCGAGCCAGCAACGAAAGGGACGCCGAGGATGACGCCGAGGGAACCGAATGCAGAGCAAAGGAGACGGCGAATGTCGCCACTGCAAACCGAAATTACCGTCGAAGATTAATGATCGCCTGCTTTATTACAGGTATTTATAGCCATGTTCTAAAATCTAGAACTGCAGTTAACCTTCCAGTAACAGCAGCGATACCAGCCAGCTATTCCATTCCAGCTATCTTGAATTCGAGAGAAATTCTTTTCTTTCGTACGTTCGTTGTTCGTGCTTTCTAACAAGAGCTAAGAAACTTAATGAAACTTCTTCCGCCCGCAAAAATGTCTATCTACTTCAAATATTATCCAACTCACAGTATAATGGTATCTATGGAACCCAAAGAAATGTCAAAATGTTGATTTACAATGCTGTTCAAGCCATCCATATTTCATGGCCGATGCTTTCTTCGCCGCGTCCTCGAAGGACTTTTATGCCTCAGTTCGCATCTGGTCCTGATCTGGTGAGATTTTCTAACGAAGATGCAGAGGGAATCGCGAGATCGAGATGTCTGTGCCTGCCGGTGACGAGTTCACCAGTTCACATTAATTTAAGTTGAAGCCGGAGCGGTTGCCTTTACGCGAGGCGAAAAGAAGCCTAATAAAGAAGGGGAAAGAGAAAAAGGGGATAGGAAAAAGAGACAACGTATAGGTGTACGTAGATACGTACGCGCGTACTCGTTCGTTCCTTAAATAAATCGCCTCGAGTGACGGATTGGGGAAGAAGATTAACGAGCGTCGGTGTGTCGTTCGATTCGATACGTCGAATTAACGCGGGACAGCAACGATGTTCTCTCGGTATCGGTTATTAATGACTCGAGCCTCTGCCAATGTAAACCTTGCCGAGCGTTTTGCATTAGTGACTGCGGAAAGTTTAGATTAATCGCGACTGATAAATGCTCACGATACCCGGCCGTGCAATCGTATTACGGCCGAATGAATTGCCGTTAATTATCCCCCCGATCGCTCGACAAGCGTGAACCTTATGCGAATTGAAATAAAAGTATTGTTCTTTGCTTCCTGCGCGAATAATTTTCCATCGTTAATATTCAGCGGTAAAAACCTCCTTTTCCTTTTTTTTTTTTTTTTTATACTTCATTCGTCGAAAGGAATTAGAATTTACCGCTCGGAAGTTCCGAAACAAATTCAAATTATTACGTTTCTATTCTGTCGCGAGAATCGTTTATACGGGATAAAAATTCTTTGGCACAAAAGATGAGAATGCAATGCACAGAAGAGAAATTGATAAAATAAAATAAACGTTGGCAGGTATGTTAAATTTGAGAAATTAATGAATTGTTTTTCTTGGTGATTGAAATGTTCCGAAAGCTAAGATATATATATATTTCGTTGCAGTGGAAAGAAAACAGAGGAGATTGGTCGGCGAATACACTTGGCTCTTAGGTAATATGTATCACGGAACTGGAAGAGTCGTTAATCTTACAGTTGGTGTACATCGAACACCTACGAGTACGATGATAAAGCGACGCTGATACGCTACTCCCCTTTAAGTTGGTGGTCACGAGCCTCCCTTGCGCTCTTTCTGTAAATATTTGTCATGATTATCCGCGCAAATTGTCGGTGCACAAATGCTTAGCATGAAATTGTCGAAGAAAAACGGTAAGCAACGTTGCATGCTCGATAACATTTTTTCCATCTATTTATTCAGACGTATAATTACAGCCTAGATAAAGTTTTATTGATAAAATGCTCGTACGATTTTCTACATGGAATGTATAAAGAATGACAAGCCATGTCTGAACTGCACTAATCAATTATGTCCCTACTCATAAAATATTATTAAAAATTATTAAAAATACGTCTCATGTGAAATAACGATATCTACCTCATACTAAAGTTTACAATCAATTACTGATAATCGATAATAGTTACATACGCGCACAATTTCATTTTTATAACTCCGATGTTTATTATTCCAACTATTATCATCTAATAACGCAAGCATAAATTTCAATCATAAGTAACGTAGCGAACGGAGAATGATTTACATAAGTAATGCGTTTACATAAATGTTATCTATAACGATGTAATTTTATTTTCTCTCTATAAAAATGGCAGAGTGTTGTAGCTCAGCTGCAATTCGTAAAAATATAATTAATATTCTTTCCAATTTCTAAACGTAAACTGTAGAAAAGGCTGTAAAGTGAAAGTTTATTATTCGTCAAATAAAAGCTGTATATTTAAAACGAAAAATGTTTTGAATCATTCTTATAATTGAGATAATGCCGCTTATTTACGAGATACGTACGCTAAATGTCTTTTTATATTTAATTTTTATACGCGTAACGCAGAGCTTAAATTGTATAAAATGTATCAAGGAGCAACGTTGGGGTGCTAATTAGAAAGACAGAGTTATAAAAGTTCATAAATTAATCTTGTTAATTAGTTTTTTTCGCAAATGAAAATTTGATCGATTTATGGGCACTGCAAATGCTAGCGGCGCGTAGCGGTGAAACGATGGAACTAATTGTTACGGATTGTCGTTGTCCTTGTCTAACACGCGACGTGTGTATCTGCCTTTGTCACGCATCCTTTTCTATTGCTATCCTTTTCTAAGGACAAGCGATGTGGTGTCATCTTTGTCTTTCACAGTGTAGAATTATTAAGCGGAAGAAGCAATGCACTACCATCTATCGGATTCTTCATTTCATCCTTTTAGTTCCAGTCAGAATTGAGAGGTGCTTAGATGCCAGCACCATCCATAGACAAAGAGCGCAATAGTATGCGATAGACAAAGACAAAGAGCAATTAGTTTGACCGTTTCACCGTTTCACTACGCAGCGCTAGCATTTTAATGTCCGTGAATCGGCTAAATTTTCATTTGCGAAAAAAACTCATTAAGCGGATTAATTTATGAACTTTTATGATTACATAAAGTATCTTTCATGTTAGACTTTCGACTTTCCCCCAGTAGTTACACTTGATCTGTAAAGTGCATGATCAACGAGAAATAAATAGTTGCAAATTCTATTCAACTTTCTTACAAAGTATCTATTCGATGTTTCGATCAAAATTGTTTGTGAACATAATTAAGAGTAGGAATAATAAGTTTCACATGTTTTTGAACAAAAATAATGATCAATTACGGCACGTGTCATTATCATAGGTTTAGGTGAATGTAATGAACTTTCCACAATTAATTTATAAACCTTCTTACATTTAGACAGTACATTTTCGGTGTAATGTAATAATTTTGCAAACTCATTTACTTAGTCAATGATAAAGTCGAAATACAGCTGTACCGACGTAACGCGACAGTGTTCGCGCATGCGCACTGGAGCTCGGGCAAAAGTGATACGACAAAACCCATGGGAAGAATAGGAAAGACAGAGGACGACAATGCTCGGAAGAGGAAGGTGTAAACTGAACGATACTATCGTCATACGCTCGCAAACAAGTGTTGCCGAAGTGATTTGACCTTCTTCGTAGTAACCTTAACTTATTAAGGATGCTTACTACGAGCAACAATAGAAGAAGATCCGTTCGAGTCGTAACCTGCTCTTGAGGTAGGTTCATTTCAACACTAAACACTTCGAAACTCTTCAGTCAATCGTTGCTTGTATTGAAAGATCAAGTTTGCCCCGTTGGTTTAACGTCCCTTTTTCTCTATTATCTACCTTTGCAGATATCGGTAACTCTGAACAGTAAGCAGCCCTGCAACGATAAGAAAGAACGTATTCGAACGGCGGTGCGACGGAGAAAATGTCGTGTTCGAACGAGCTGTCCCGTTCACAGGAATATCTAAGCTTTCGTAGTTCTGTCCCGCTCAGGAAGATTGTCGTCGACGCCGATGGCACCAAGGTACACAATTGCATAGTTGGCTCAATTGTCCCGAGTTCGAAGTTCTCGATTTGGTGAGAATCGTCCTTGAGAGAGATCGAGATACGCGATTATTACAATGAGATAACCCCGCGACTGGAACTGACGTTGTAAACAAATTTCACGTACGAGAATATCGATCGAGGAGTAGCGAAGCTAACAGATATCCGGTATTTTTTATGTATCGGAATATTTATTTCGTATTACATTACCGATCGCGTAAATTGAGAAAAACGATGTTCGTTTGTCCAGGGATGGAAAGTGTACGACTCTAGTCCAAAAACCATCAAGTGTCCGCTCATATGTCTTCCGCCGGTCAGTGGAACGGCCGATGTGTTTTTTAAACAGGTGTTGGGTTTGGCAGCCAAAGGATACAGAATCATATCAGTGAGTATTGCAAATTATATACATAAGAGATGTATTATATATAGGTCGGTCAGTTTCGAATAATTAATTCGCGTTTCAGGCCGAGTCGCCCGTGTATTGGAACGTGAAGGAGTGGTGCGATGGATTCAGGAAACTGCTGGACTACATGGAGTTAGATAAGGTGCACATTTTTGGCGCCTCATTAGGTCAGAACGTACGAACGAAACTCAGTACGAAACGTGACGATGGGATCACGTACACGTAATGGGGAAAACGTAATCGAGATATATTGCTTTTAGGTGGATTTCTGGCGCAAAAGTTCACGGAGGTGAACGCTCACTGTCCTAGAGTTGTGTCGTTGGTCCTTTGCAATTCGTTTACGGACACCTCGGTATTCAGCTACAACGACTC